GATAGCTGCAAGATAATGCAAAGAAAAACAACAAAAGATTTATACAGATAAATGAGAAAAAAGGGGATAACACAAATGACACCAAAAGGCTATTACCAGAAGTATAGCTGAAAATTTCCCAAACATGAGAATAGAAACTGACATACGGATTAGTGAAGCATATAGAACCCCAAATACCCTTAACCAAAAGAAAACTATACTCAGACATATAATAATCACCATCTGAGAAACACAATGTAAGAACAGAATAGTAAAAGCTGTTAGAAAAGACAGATCACCTATAAAGGTAAACCTATCAGAATTACAGTAGACTTCTCAACACAAAAAATGAAGTCAAGAAGACCATGTTAGTGAAGAATTTCCGATCCTAAAGGAAAATGATTTCCAATTTAGACTGATGTACTCTGCAAATCTGTCCTTCAAAATAGATAGAGAAATAAGATACTTCCATGACAAAGAACAGCAAAAAAACTTCATGATCACCAAGCTAACCCTGCAAAGAATGCTAAAAGGCAGTCTAAATACACATAGGATAAAACTACTAAGCAAGGTAGACATATAAAGAGAATGGGAAGATAAAGATGGAACAGGAGAAAGATAACACGTCAACAATAAGCCAATATATAACAGTTATAACCATTAATTTAAATGGCCTTACTTCACCAATTAAAAGAAACAGACTGGCAAAATGGATCAAGAAATAACATACAAGAAACTCATATAACCCAACAGGAAACTCACAGACTGAAAGTCAAAGGATGGAAAACAATGCTTCATGAAACAAGAACTGAAAAAAAAGCAAAGGTAACTATTCTGTTTGCAGACAATGTGAACTTCAAACCAAGAAATGATCCTAAGAGATAAAGAAGGTCACTACATACTAGTTAGGGGAAAACTACAAGAGGAAGAGATAATAATCTTAAATATATATGAAAAAAATTCTAGAAGCCCCAGTTATGCAAAGCAAGTATTAATAGAAATGAAGAAAAATTAGCAATAACACAATTGTAACAGGAGACCTTAACACACCATTGACACCAAGGGACAGAAAAACCAGACAGAAAACCAGCAAAGAAATAAAAGAACTGAATTACACCTGTGGACAAATGGACTTGGTAAACATATACAGACTGTTCCATTCAACAAAATCAGAATATACATTCTTCTCAGCAGCATATGGGACACTCTCTAAAATATACCACATACTAGCCCACAGAACATATTTAAATAAATGCAAAAGAACTGAAATTATCACATGCATATTATCAGATCATAGTGCCATGAAACTAGAAATTCATGATAAAAGAAACTGTAAAAGCCCCACAAACACATGGAAATTGAGTAATACACTCTTGAGCAATCAGTGGGTCACAGGGGAAATTAAAGAAGAATTTAAATAAGAACTACAAGCAAACAAAAGAAGATATACAACTTACCAGAATCTCCGGGATGCAATGAAAGCGGTCATCAGAGGAAAATTTATTGCACTGAGTTCCCACATCAAGAAAACAGAACGAATACAAATAAACAATCTGATGCTACACCTCAAACATCTAGAAAAAGAAGAGCAAGTCAAGCCCAAAGCCAAAAGAAGGGAGGAAATTATACAAATCAGAGCAGAAATTAATACAATAGAGACTAAGAAAACAATCCAAACAATCAATGAATCAAAGAGTTGCTTCTTTGAAAGAATAAATAAAATTGATAAGCCCCTTGGCAACTTTATTAAAAGAAAAAACAGATCAAATTCATGCAATAAGAAATGAAAAAGGCAAAATCACTACAGACTCTGTGGAAATACAGAAGATCATCAACACCTATTTCAAAAAACCTCTACTCTCATAGGTTCGATAACACAGAAAAAAATGGACAGATTCCTAGAAACATATAAAGTACCAAAGCTGGGTTAAGAAGATGTAAAACTGCTGAATAACCCAATTTCTATTAATGAAATTGACAATGTAATTAAGTCCTTACCTACAAAGAAGAGTCCAGGCCCAGACGGATTCACTGCAGAATTCTGTAAGAAATACAAAGAAGATTTATTGCCGACACTCTTCAAACTCTTCAATGAAAATGAAAGGGAAGCAATCCTTCTTTCTAAGTCATTCCTGGAAGTAAATATTACTCTAGTACCAAAACCTGAGAAAGACTCAACTAAAAAAGAGAACAGGTCAATCTCCCTAATGAACAAAGATGCAAAAATCCTCAATAAAATATTGGCAATCAGGATGTAGCAAATCAAGAAGATTATACACCACGACCAAGTGGGATTCATCCCAGGCATGCAGGGATGGTTCAACACATGTAAATCAATAAATGTAATCCACCATATCAATAAAGCCAAAAGTAAGAATCACATGATCATTCTGATAGATGCAGAAATAGCTTTTGATAAGGTCCAACACTCATTCATGAGAACAGCCTTACAGAAAATTGGAATAGATGCTCTTTACCTTAGTACGATAAAGGCCATCTGTGACAAACCAACAGCCAGCATCATATTAAATGGCCAACAACTGAAGGCCATTACTTTAGAATCAGGCACAAGACAAGGATGTTCCTTATCATCGCTCCTATTCAACATAATTCTGGAAATACTAGCCAGAGCAATTAGACGAGGGAGAAGTAAAAGGGTAAAGATAGGAAAAGAGGAAGTTAAATTATCATTATTTGCAGATGACATGATATTCTACATAGACTCCCAAAACTCCATTGAAAGACTCCTAGATATAATAAATAAATTTAGCAATGTAGCTGGATACAAAAGCAGTACTCAAAAATCAATAGCATTTCCATAAACTAACACCAAAATCACTAAAAGGAAAATAAGAAAAGCTACACCTTTCACACTAATATCCAAAAAAATTAAATACTTGGAATTAAACTCACGAAAGAAGTGAAAAATCTATTCAGGGAAAATTATAATACCCAGAAAAAAACTGACGAGGACCTCAGAAAACGGAAAGACATACATTGTTCACTGATAGGAAGAATAAAATATTGTGAAAATGGCCATTCTCCCAAAATTGTTATACAGATTCAATGCAATCCCAATGAAAATACCACTAACATGCCTCATAGATCTAGAGAAATCACTCCTATAATTCATCTGGAAGAGAAGAGACCTAGAATAACAAAGGCAATTCTAAGCAGCAAATGCAAGGCAGAAGGCACCACAATCCCTGACTGGAAGTTATACTACAAAGCTACTGTAATAAAATCAACATGGTACTGTAACAAAAACAGATCTAAAGATCAATGGACTAGATGAGAAGATACAAATGCAACTACTGACACATTCAACCACCTTATCTTTCATAAAGGGGCCAAACATGTTCACTGGAAGAACAATAAATGGTGCTGGTAATACTGGCTATCTTTTTATGCCAAAAACTAAAACTATACCCATGCCTATCACCATATACTAAACTAAAATCTAAATGGATCAAAGATCTGAATATTAAAATAGAAACACTAAATCTGTTGGAAGACAAATTAGATAAAAATCTTGAAGATATAGCAGTAGGTAGTGAATTCATGAACAGGAATCAAACTGCATGGGAAATATTTCCCAGAATCAATAACTGGGATCACGTGTTATTAAAAAGTATCTGTGTGTCAAAAGAAATCTCCAGCATAGTGAAAAGAAAACCCACAAACTGGGAAAAAAATCTTAGTGAATTGTCTCTCAGACAAGGACTTCTGTCTAGAACATACAATTTTTTAAAAAATCAAACCCCCAAAATTCAAAGACCCAATCCAAAAATGGGCATCTGAGATGAATACACAGCTCTCAGATGAAGAAATACAAATGGCAAATAAGTACAGGAAAAAATGTTCATCATCATTGGTCATTAGAGAAATGCAAATTAAAACCACATTGAGATTCCATCTTACTTCAGAAAGAATGGCCAGGATCAAGAAAACTACCAACAACAAATGCTGGAGAGGCTGTGGGGAAAAAGCAACTCTCTTGTACTGTTGGTGGGAGTGTAGACTAGTGCAATCATTGTGGAGATCAGTCTGGAGATTCCTCAAAAAGCTAGGATTGGAAATCCCATTCAACCCAGCTATTCCACCTCTAAGCATATTCCCAGAACTGAAAACATCATACCACAGTGATACATGTGCACCCATGTTAATAGCAGCACAATTTGTAATAGCCAAATCTTGGAAACAACCTAAATGTTCATCAATTGAGGAATGGATAAAAAAGCTGTGGTATTTTTATACAATGGAGTACTACTCAGCTATATAGAATGGTCACATTGAGATACTTATAAATAAATGGACACAACTTGAGACCATACTCAGAAGTGAAATAAACTCACATGTACAAATACTGTATAGTCTTCCTAGTGTAAGAAATGGTAAGAGTTCATAAGTTTATCATAATCATGATTCCCCATTATAATGCTTTGAAGACTTATGTGTTATTAGTTGGAAATGGTTTTATCCTGATTTGTTTGATTTTATTATCTGTGATCTATGAACAGCTATTTTGAAGAAAACAAGACATTATAATAGCCAATGCTGATTTAATATCATCTTACTCTGAGGCCCTACCATGCTTTTTTGTTTCCATTGGTTCTACCATATTCTTACTGGATTTTATTATGTGTAGTAGTATAAACAAATTTTCTATGGCAAATAAGATAATACAGTAGCCATTGTTCATTATCTGTTATTTGGTTCTGAATGCCCTGCAATACTTTCATTCTCTTAAATGGTTTTATACTATTTCGTTATGTATGATACTATTGTATATGAAGTTATGCTCAATTATTTGAAAGAAAGAGACATTATGGTAGGTACTATTTATTACGGGTTGTCTTGTGAAATACTGTGTTGCTTACATTGTTCTGTTGTGATCTGCATTCTTATGTCCTCTTTTACCTTAATCTCTTTAAAATAAAAGAAAGAACATCCATTATCAACCCTCCTATTTAATATAATACTCAAGTCATTAGCCAGAGCAATCAGGCAAGACAAAGAAATAAAAAGAATTCAAATTATTATTATTTGCAGATGGCATTGATACTTTACATAGACTACCCCCCAAAATCTCCAAAAGACTCATAAAGTTAGTAAATCAAATACAGCAAGGTAGCAGGAAACAAAAATCAACACACAAAATCACATCTTTCTGTATTCCAATAACAATCCCAATGAGAAGGAATTAGAAAACAATGTGATTTACAACCTCATCAAGAATTAAATACTTATGAATTAACGTTACAAAATAAATTTCTACAATGAAAATACAGTAATCTAATGAAGGAGATTGAAGAGGAAAAAATATACCCTGTTCTTAGATGGGCAGAACTAATATTGTCAAAATACCCAAACTTCTTAAACTGCCATACAGATTTGATGCAATCCCAATCAAAACATCAACAGCATTTCTCATAAATTAGAGAAAACAATCCTAAAATTCATATGGAACAACAGAAAACAGCAAAAATCACCCTGGGTGTCAAGAACAAAGCAGAAGGCATCACAATCCTGAACTTCAGATTATATTACAAAGTTACAATGATAAAGACAGCATGGCACTAGCACAAAAAACATGCAGACTATTGGAACAGAATAGAGGATGTAAATACAAACCCAAGCACACTCATTCATCTGATCTTTGACAAGAGACAAAAAATACATGCTGGAGGAAAGACAGCCTCTTCAGCATATGGGGCTGGTAAAATTAGCTATGAACTTGCAGAAAACTGAAGTTAGACCCTTATTTCTGACCATGTAACAAACTACAATCAAAATGGATCAGAAAGATAAATAGTAGACAACAGAGCCTGCTAGATTAAAACAGATAAAACTCTTGAATTCATAGGTGTAGATAAGGACTTCTTGAGAACTCCAACTAGTCAAGAAAAATATAAAGAATCACATAATAGGATCATACCAGATTAAAAAGCTACACAGAAAGCAAATAACCAACAGAGTGAAGAGACAACCTATATAAAGGGAAAAAAACATTAGCCAGCTATGCCTCAGACAGAGGAGTAATATCTGAAGTACTTCAAGAATTGAAACAAAATCAGGTTACCCAAAAGAGAAAATACGGGTTCCTGATCTAGATCCCGGATCTTCCAAACAAGTGTACAGTGGAGGTTAAATAAAGAGACAAATTATGAGTTTCAGGGCTCCAGGAGGGTCAAAACCCTTTAGTTGAGCTCACAACTCTGAGGACTATGACAAAGCATTCTCTGAATTAGCCCACTTTTATTATGACTAAGACAAAAGGCAAGGAAACTGAGGAAAGCACAGGAAATGAGCAGAACCTCGGGGTCACTTCAAAGACTTCCCCAAGCAGTACGTTAAACCAATTTAGGAGAACGATCCTATCTCCAAGATAACATTTATGGGTGGGACTGAGACTGCAGGAGTGAGATGCCTGCAGCTACAGTGTCTATTTACTTAGTATTGGAGCCAAGGTGTCTTCAGCTGCGGCCTTATTTTGCCCTTTGAGGTATCTCTGGCCTCAAAGGCCACTATAAGCCTCAGCCACTACCAGTGACTCATAGAGGTTCACTTACTATGGATCAACTCCCATTGCCAGACAAGGGGCCCAGGTCTAGGACAGACTCACAGATAAACATAGAAAGCCAATTAGTAAAATTTAAATCCTGCTCAGAGCTGCTGGGTAGTGGTCCCCAACAAAAAACCCAATCAGGCAGGTGCTGTTCTGCTGTTATATCCCTGGCCACAAATTTTTTTCTTTTTGGTACCAGGACTCAAACTCATAACCCTGTGCTTGCCAAGCAGGTGCTGTGCAAAACTCAACCAAAAACTGGGCGACTGAAATGTACAGACAGCTTTCAAAAGTATAAATGGCCACTAAATACATGAAAAACTGTTTAATAATGTTAGAAATACAAATTCAAACAACCATGAAACCCTGTTATTCTAGAGTAAATCTGTTACTCTAGAAAGACTATCTAGCATTAAGAAATCAAGTAGCAAACACATTCTGGTGAGGACTGGGGAAAATGAACCCTTTCACATTGTTGGTAGGGATGTAAACAGTAAAACTAGTATATAAATCAGTATGCAGATTCCTCAAAAAACTAAAAATACAAACTCCATTATTCCCTTACTTGGTATCCTCTCAAAAGACCTGAAGACAAATTGTAACTGTACATGGAGAGCATGTTTTCAGGAGCACAATTCATAATTGCTAAATCTTGGAAGCTGCTTAGTCCATCAACAGATAAACAGATAAGGAAGTTATGGTATTTACACACAATGGAGTACTACTCGCTCTAAAGAAGGACACATTTAAATCATTTATAGCAAAATGGATCGACACTGAATTCATGTTAAATGAAACAAATCAAATATATAAGCTTATATGTCATATTGCTTATCTTATATGAGAAGCACTAAATAAAGAGAAAAAAACAGAAGATAGATGGTAGGAAGCAGGATGATAGATACTATACAAATGAGAAGGGGATCAAGAGGTAGAGAGAAGGACAGGGGAGAGAAGAGAAGTGAAGAGAATTATGATGTGTCATGTCCACTGACCAGATACACACAACAAATATGCTCACTTCGTATCACAAACATGTATTTTAAAAAATCATAGCCAACAATTAGAAGTAGGTTTATTAAAGTAAAACATTTCACTATTGTTATTACTGGACAAGCATTTATTTAAAATATTCTAAATACATACAAAAATAAATGAAGTATTGCTTCTATTTCTCAAGTGTCAAAGTCTTTGCAATAGAAAATAGAAAGGACCTTTAAAACTAAACATTATTTTAAAACTACCTCATATTTATTACTGTACTCTATTTTCTGTTATGGTTTATGTTTTGCAAATTTTCAAACTACTTCTTTGCAATGTACATGTTCACAATGAGAATGTATGCATACAATCATATAATCAGATTTTTATAAAGGAATATTTCTCATTTCACAAAACCTGATGCACACAGCACTGTGCACTGAAAGTCATCGCTATTCCCCAAGGGCCAGAGTTGTCACAACATGGAAACAAGTATGGTTATGAAAGTATTATTTCACATTGAAATTAGCACTCTAAGTATCAGAGATGAAGGTATCCTAATGAAGAATACTCACTCTTAACATTTCTAGACAAAGACATTTTTAAGGTGTAGTAAATCAATAGCCATATTTATTGTAAAAATAGAAAAACTTCAAAGATTTCTCAATATATTAAGTTAATCTCAGGATCAACATCACTGTCTTTGTATACATTTTGAAAAGAGAAAGGAGGATTTAATCTTAAAGAGAAATTTCTCAAGGTTAAGGATCATTTCCAAATTAGTCTGTACATGGGTAAATTTAATTTCTTATGAAATAGATAAATGCTGAGTTACCTCTTTCACAATATATGCATTCAAGTCTCCCCCACAACACAGACATTAGAAATCATGGTTCATGATAAAATATTGATAATGCTTCACCACCCACAGGGTGTCAATCTTACTAAGTCAACCAGATGTGGAAAAGAAATTCACTTCTGATCAGTTCCTGAATTTCTGTAAGTAGTCATAATAATAGAGAACTTCAAAGTACAGTATATTATTCTCATATAAATACCTATTTAATCAAATTTAAGTTCCACTTATCAACTAGAAAAATGATGAGAAATGCTGCTTCTCTATTAAGAAAAAAGAATTTAGCTTTAAGTCCTTATTCAGAAACTGTGTGATCTTTTTAAGAAATTCTAAGTATAATAATTGAAAATTTTATTATCAATAGAACTGGAAAACTGACTTATTGATGTTTTATGATAAATTCTATTAAAAGAGCTCTTGAAGCACTGAGCACTTGATAAAAATCTCTGCTTTGAACAAGGAGAAACATCAAACAGGCAGGACATGTTTAAGGATCAAAATATCCCGAAATGCCATAATACTCAGAAAATTTTAAATAGCATGCTAAAATATTTTCAAAGTCTTATTTCACCAAAAGTTATAGGCAAGTGGGCACAACAAGAACACACAAAAATGCAAACTGATAACTGTACAGATAAGAAAAGCATTGGAATCCAAGAGGTAGTAAGAAGTAACCCTGATGAACAAAACATGCTGGCAGACACTCGCTAATCTGAGACCTAGATGCAGTAAGAAATTCTTGTATTTTTCGTGATTATAACAGTAACTGGGCAAGAAATTTAAAAGTAGGTACCTAAATGAATACTGCAAATAGAACAATACTCATAAGGAAAGAATGACCTAGAATAAAAACTGGTATATAATCTATAGCCAAATCCATCTTAGTGTTGCTATAAATAAAATTTTATGGAAATACAGCCACATCCAATTTGTATATTGTCTATGACTTCTTTTACATCCTAAGTGCAAAACAGAGTACTTGGGACAGAGATCATATAGCCCACAAAGCCTAGAATATTTACTATCTCTGCCTTTACAGAAATCCTGCTGACTTATGATCCAGACATACTGCTGCTAAGGATTTGTTAAACAGCACTCAAAAAATTAACTACAATTATCACTGTAATGCTATTCAACTATACAGAATATAAGATGCTAATTATGTAAGAATTTGATTTCTGACCATCTCTGAAATAGTCCTAATGATTTTTATTTTTGTGCTTTAATATAAAAAATGTATTTCTAATTTTACCATTAAAAAGAGATTAAGGACAGTTATTGTCCAACAGAAAAATACAGTGATGAAAATATTCTATATTAGCACTGCCCAGTAAAGAAGCCACGAGCTACATGTGTGTTGAAAATGTGGCTGTAACTCAGGGAGCTAACTTTTTTTGTTTTAATTAAGTTAAACTGCTACATGTGGCTTGTGGCAACAATACTGAACAACACAGACACAACACAATTTAACTGATACCCCAAACAAAGATGTTTAAAGATGATCCCCAAAGACAGAAATAGCTTTGAAAAGAGCTTTCAGCAGAAATAAACTGAAATCACAAATTTTTCCCATGATAAACTCCTTAATAACTAAGCAAAGATGAAACTGAAGTTGTTTTATCATTGCAAAGAATCTTTTCAATAAAGAAACAAAAATTAATATATTGTAGTATATGTCATTTTTAGGCAGCTAAATTTTAAGCTGAAAAGCAGTAAATGAGACTATCAGTATATTTTTATTGATTACATTTAAAAGGAGGTAGGTAGTTCACACCAAGTATTGTTTTTCAGCTTGCCTTCCTAAAAATGTTACCTACTAAAAATGTTAGTGTATCTCCTACCTTCTAACACTTTAATCAAGCTCTCCTGAATTCCATGTTTTTAGCAGCTACCTGTGAAAACTATGGCCTATTTCCACAAAGTCATTGCCAAGGTTAAATCTTCCAGACAGTACACCTTACATAGCATGCCAAAATACATCCATTTAAACGAATTTGTGGATACAAAGTAAAATCTCACATACATCAAGTTAAAGAAATCACCCTTCTAAAGTTCTCTATTGCCTACATAAAGACTAGTTATATATGGACTAATAACATAAATCTAGCTACATTTTAAAATTGGGTATTACTGATTACATGTTGCAAATTGATCAAATTACCAGTGTAACAAAACATTAACATGAGTCAAATTGAAATTACAATACTCAAAAAAGTGAATGCTTGTTTGAGATACGTAATTACATCTTCATATTCAAGTGAGCTTACCCAGAAACACAGTTAATTCTATATTTTGTTTTCAAAGTTAGCTGGCAAAATCAATTTGTGGCATTTTTATTCCAACACGCCAATGTCGAACATCTTAACCTTTTATAATCCAGCAGCTGAAAGGTATAAAATGTTTTAAGGGCACTTCTGTTCCTGTTTTATTTTGCAGTTTAATCAGATGTTGCAGCAGGAACTTTGACAGAGAGGTTTCTCCGGGTGCTGGTGATATGTCGCTGCTGTGCCAAGAAGGACCGTGCGGGGCCGCAAGGAGCAGCATCACTGCTAGCGCAGCTGACAAGCCTGGACTCCATCCCCAGTTTCTGGAATGCGAGACTCTGAGCAAAAACAAAACAAATAGACATAGATTAGAGATAGACAAGGTTTCATTGTATATTCAGGCTGCTCCTAAACACGCTACATAGCCCAGGTTGGCCTCAAATTCACTGCAATCCTCCTGTCTCAGCTTTCTGAGTGCTGCAATTACAGGTGTGCATTGTCACACCCAGCTGTTTCTCTATTTTAATGCACTAAATTGGTAATCAATAAAAAAGATAGTTTAAAATAATATCCTGGAATTAGGTATAATTGTAATAATAGAAAAATGTTCCAAAACAAATTTTTGTGTTTGAGCATTTTCTACACTGTGAGGTATGGTCCCTGGATACACAACTATCATAGTCTTGACTGTGAGATCTCTTGTGAGAGAAGGCAGTACTCTCATTAGACAGGCGTGGTAACCAAACAGTTTTATGAAACTTCACATCACTAGTAACTAGTGCAGTACATGGGATACAATAGATGCACAACAAATATAGATTCAAGAAAACCGAAATAAGTGATTTATTATTTGGCTCTTCATTGACTTAAAGAGATTAAGAGTTTATTGAGAAATAGAATAATTAATATGTAGTTCCTGACCTCATCTAGGACGGCCAACACATAGGGAAAAGTTCTGGAAACACCTCCCATAAATTTCCCTCCAGACCCTCATAAATTAAGCCAGATTTCACTGACCAGGAAATAAAGGCAAGCACACAGACAAGAAGTACGATGGCATGAAAGAACGAGGCAGGCATGACACCTAGTCATGGAAGGACAACTAGTATTACGCAGTCAAGTGTGGCATCACATACGATATTTCTAAAACTCTGACTGAATGATATATAATTACCGAAAGACAGAAATCAGTTTTTATTCTCATCAGAGTAACTCAAAACAATCTTATATAACATGAAACGCTACTCTTGAAAACATCTCACTGATTCTAAGGATTGCAAAACAAAATACATTTCAAATTACTTCATGCTATTTCTTGCTTGGTAAGACAGAGACTATCATGGAAGCATAATATCTGCATAGTTTTGCATTACTCATATATTCATATAGTTCAGAAATCCTTCATGAGTCTTAAATTTTCAGTTCAGATACAATTATTTATGCCTGCACTTAACAAACATCAGCTAAAAGTTAATGAAAAGTAATGCACAGTGTTAACTTTCCTTTCAGATAGCTACAAAAGCCCTGATTTGTCTAAAATGTTTCCATTGTTCCTAATGAAAAAAGTTTGATAACCTCTGTTCAAAATATCTAATCACTAGTCAAAATTTCAACTCACCTTATTATACCAGGCAGAAACAATGAGTTTTTCTTCATAATCACGGAATTTTGCTACTTTACATTCACTCTGGAAAAAGGTATGAGGAAAATTAAAATTTCCCAAATTCATCTTATTATCCAAAGAGAATCATTTTTTTTACTATCTCACTGTTCAAAGAATAAAATAATGTATTCATGAGGCACATAAAATAATCAAATGTAAATCGAATCATGCAAAGACATATGCATAGCATGTTTAAGAAAGACTAAGATTTGTGACTAATAAGTATCTTGGGAATTTTACTCATAGAAAGTAATTCTGAAACACATTTACACACACACACACACACACACACACACACACATTCCTAGTGCTTTTTATGATACTGTCCCTCACATCTTAGAAAAAAAAATGGTTTAGGTATCAAAACAAAGCTGCACCTGTAGAAGAGTGAAATTAAGGAGAAAGAGGAGGCAACAAAAACTACCACCTATTATTCTTAGCACAAATTCTCTCTCTTAGCCTAAACATGTTACCTGAAAGAAAGATAGCTTCTTTAATAAATGGTGCTGAAAAAAAACAAGCTCTGTACATGCTTAAGACTAAAACTAGACCATATCTATCACCTAAAGTCAAAATGGATAAAAGATTAAAACAGAAAACACTAATCTACTGAACAAGAAAGTAGGTAGAATTCTTGAAGACACAGGACAAGCAGACAGTTCATAAACAAAACCCAAACTGCATGGGAAATACTTCAAAGAATCAACAACTGAAAGCTCATCTCATTGAAAGCTTTTGAATATCAAAAGAAATCATCAAAGGAGTGAAAAAGACAACCCAGAGTAGGAATTTTTTTTTTTTTTTTTTTTTTTTTTTGGCTAGTTGTCGCTCAAAGAACTCATACTTAGGACATATAAAGAACTGAAAAAAAATCAGGGCCCCCAAATTCAAAAACCCAATCCAAAACAGGGCATCTCAGATGAATACATACTGCACAGATGAAGACATACAAATGGCAAATAATATGTGAAAAAATGTTCAGTTATCATTGGTCATTTGAGAGATGCAAATTAGAACAACACTGAGATTCCATCTCACTCAAGAAAGAATGGGTATCAGCAAGAAATCAATCAATAACAAAGTCTGGTGGGCCTGTGAGGTAAAAGGAACCCTTTTGCAGAAGGAATCCTTCTGGTGGGAGGGTAGTCTGGTGCAACCATTGTGGAAATCAGTGTAGAGACTCCTTAAACTAGAATTACAGGTCTCATTTTCCCAGAAGAATTAAGAAATCACACCACAGTGTATATGTGTACTCGTAGTTATAGTAGCACAATTTGTGATAGCTTAATTTTGGAAACAACACAAATGCCCATCAACCTAGTAACGGATAAAATAAAGATGTGGTAATTTTATACAACAGAATACTAGATAAATAGATGCAACTTTAGACCATGCTCAAGGGAAATAAATCACTCTCATGTATAAACATCATATTGTTCCCTACTGTAAGAAACTTGAATGAGTTAATAAGATCCAATAAGTATTGTGAAATGGGAAGAAACTGTTCAAAAGAAAAAGAAACTGAGATGGGGGAAGGGAGAAAATAAGAAAAAGAAAAGGGGACAAAATATACATATACACACATAAACAATTAAGATAGTTATACTACTAATTTCTATTAGTTCATTGAGAAAGGCTTGTGCTTATATTACTTGATCCATTTTTCTTGCTTACAGCTTGTAATTTGAGCAACTACTCTGAAAATAACCATATGCAACATATTAACCATTCTCACTCTATTATCTCGTTTTAAAATTCTGTATCATCTTTTTTCTTGTTTTTTCTCTTTAAAATAAAAGAAAAAATACTTGGTGTCCTGTACACTAGGTTGCCTATGCAACTACAGAACCCTTTTCCTAATTATTGTAATATGTCTAATTTTGTAATTCTGTTGAGCACCTGCAATAACTGGCTCATATAATTATTTATAATCTTGAAATACTTTGATTTTCCTTCAGCAAGATGCTCATGATACAAAAAACAAAAATAAAACATAATAGAAACAAAGAACAAAGGAGAGAGGTAATGTGAGTCAAGTCCCCACCATTCCAGGCAAAAATGTGCTTAGAGGAAAGGGGGACACATAATAGCCTCTGCCATTTACACTACTTTTCTCCTCTTTGTTTTCACAGTATGTGTAGAGATGAACAATAAAAATTAAATGCCTATATGCTCTGAATAAACCAAACTCTCAGAGCACATTTTGTCCTACTTTTAGGGAACTTACTTCAAACATCAGCAGGGAGGCATATTTTCACTAAATGTCACTGAAAAGTAACAGAGCAAAACTAAGAAATCAGATACTACTTAGTCAAGTCATACTCTTACAGAAGTCAGGACTGAGGACCAGAAAGAAGTGATAGTTTCAGATTACCAATAAAGCAATAATCCTGGTCTCTAACTTATATTTCATGCTGGGGATACAGAAACGTAAGATAGATATTTTGCCCTCCAAAACATCTGGACATGTGTCAAAAAAATGAGTTGTGTAATGAATTAATGGGTATCAAGTACATACGTCATTACAGAGATAACTAAACTTTATTTAAGAAATACAAGGAGTGTTTTACAGAGGCAAAGATGCTTGGGTTAAGCCTCAAAGAACAAATGCCTATCTCAGACAGACAGCCCTTCCCAATGCTTTGTCTCACATAGGACATGGTCTGTGCAAGCACTGATAGCAATACATCAGTGTTATGTAGCCTCTAGAAGTATTTTAAACAAAAATACTTCCACCACAGCCCATACCTATTTGCTTAGAAATAATACCAAAAAAGGACATATGAATAGACTGTTTTTCTCTGAAATATAACATTCACAGATGATTTACAAAGAAAAAAACTACCATCTCTGAGAATTTAAAGGCCAGAGCACAGACTTTAACATGCCTTTTCAATTAACATGTTGTCAAGCAAGAAGAAGTATATAACTGCAAGTCTTATCACAGTATTAAGAATGGTGATTTTGTAAAATGTTTTGCAAAATAAACTAGAACATGACCAATCATAAAATCTAAAACATACAAGTATACATTGACACACATACCCAAAAATGGTAGAACCACAGAATCATAAAAATGGTAGAACCACTAGCATACAAATACCTTTAAAACACAGATTTGCATAATTAACAAAATCACTCCATGACTAATACTACTTTGTATGATAACAGACAGCTATTTCAAGAAATTAATTGTAATTAATTTCTCCTAAACATTCTAACTAAGTATGTTAAGAGTTTAGGTGGGAATCAGAAGAAAGATAAGATAAATGAGGTTAACTGAGAGTGAATACAGTATCTCTTTTAGAAGGTAAGCTCATTTTTTCTATTTTTGTGAATGAAATTACTTTCACACAATTATATGTGTGACAGCAGGAGTCCATTAGAAAGTCAGGAACATGCATACGATTAGCTATTACAGAGAAAAAGAACTATAAGGCAGCACATAAATAAGGTACAAAAGCTCTGCTATGTTTAATGATGTAGTGATAGTCTTTGTAACTGAAGCTGAAACTTGTTACAAAATGCTATTAATGGCCACACATGATGGCAGTTAATTACCACAGTCCACAGAATAATTAAGAGGAGATAAGTCTGAATATAGAAGTTTACCTCCAGAATTTCAATTCTTCTCTCTTTCTCTGCCAACTGCTTTCTGAGCAGCATTATTTCAGCTGATGCTGGATTTAATTTGGGATCTAAAGTTTTTATTACCTGTTTGACGGGGGAAATTATGTTTAAAATGCTGAACATATTAAAACATACATAAAACCTGTAAATAAAGTAGAAAATTATCCAGAGTCCCAGGAGGTCATAGAACCATTTAAAGCAAGAAATGATATAAAATTTTGGTACAAAAATGAGATTTTATTCCAAAATCAAACTTCCCATCTCCAAGGTTCAGTACTCATGCAGCCTGCGTCAGTACTTATTTCAGCCTGCGTTATTTTAGTGATGAACTCAAATTCTGAGCACTGAGTTCTTTAAATAGTCCTTTCTACATTAATCTTAATGATAAATTTAAAAATTCAACAGGAATTCAGTAACACAGAATATGTCAATTTTACAAAGCAAGAATAAAAATGAAATTCATATCATCCACTCAAATGTCAAGTGTAATTAGTATATCAGATAAACACAATAGGAACTAGTGATTTTATCTGCAAGTATTAAGAGTGCACAGTCATATATGTAAATGATTATAAACTGCGTCAAAGAGGTGTTTGATCAGAACTTAACAGACAGATACAACTAAAACTATATGGACAGTGTTCTGCTATGAGATCAATTTTGAAAAGCAAGAATTACAAGCAAAAACTGTATTTCCAATAATGAACATCTGTATGAGGTAATATAAATCTATCGTTAAAAGTTTAAAGTTATTTAATAAGAAAAATGTTATCTCCATTTACAGAGGTAAAGCGACAAGAATAGAGGACACTAAATTTTCTCTTGAGTTTACACATTCACAAAATATTTCCTGAGTATGACTATGTGCCAGGCACACACTGTGAAAGACAGGGATCCAGCAGATCACAAGAGACAATGCACTTGGCCTACTGGAGCACATTACAGAATTCAAATTGTCACTTAAGTTAAATCAGTCTGTTATCTCTATATGACAAGAGGTATGGTTATGGTATTTCTATATTTCTTGATTTTTTTTTCCACATTGGATAGGTTATTTTAAGCACTATTTAAACATCTGTACCCAAATAATGTAGGAAAATAAGAAATGTTTATCAAAACAGTCAATTGTCTTTTAAATAACAATCAAGTTGGACATAAAGGACTGATAATTGACTGTCAATTAATTATAGTCCTTTTACAAAATCATTTATAAATAGTTAACAAGTATCTTATTAATTCAGTAATTTTATTTCCAGGACACAAAATTAAGATAATAAACCAAAATAATGGGAAAGTTTTCTTTATAAATAGGTTCCCTACACTCTATTTTTAGGGGCAAAAAAATGTAAAGGAAATAATACTACTTCCAACAACAGGGTAATGACCAAAGGAACTATGACACATCCCATACAATTGAATACTATGTAGACATTATTTTACCTTTCCAAAGTCTGCTCAATAAGTGTGGGTCTCTTCTGTTCATTATTAAATTCCCAGTTCTTATCATACTAAATGCTCAATAAATATTAAACTATAAAGCACAAGGAAATTATTTAATTTTATAATATATATATCACATGCATTCACACATATATGATAATCAGTCATGAAGAAATGCATAAAATGCACTATTCAGAAAATATACCAAGAGATTAGCGATTACCTTTATATTTTATATAATAAGGATTTATATTCTTATAATTGGAAGGAACTTAACTGTGGTAAAAAGTGCCCAAATCTTTATCAAATCTACTTCCTTTTCCCTTCTAGAAACATAATTGTGCTGTTTGTCCCCCTATAAGTTGGATATGGCCATGTGCCAGAGGACTCACATGGAAATACTCTGTAACCTGATAAGCACGACAAGGTGGTGGAGACCAAAGTGAACAGATACAGAGACAAGAGCAGTACAATTGGGAGAAACAGGCCTCACCAGAACATGGCCGCAGATGCTTGAATTCTGAAAAATAGGTCACTCACATTTCTAGCTTTCTCTAAATACATTTTATATCTTTCCTCCATTGCTTTCATATCTTCATCTTTCTTCTGAAGAGCAGCTTCAAGTTCTCCAATCTTTTGTACTATTAGTGCAAATAAAATGAATCATGATTACCTTTTAAAATAATGCATTCTTGAACAAAATTGTTATATCAAACTTATTTTTTAAAAGACCAGTAAGAGAATTTAAGAAATTATTTCTCTTTCTTTGTAATGAATTGTTACCTGAAACTTTTGAACCACAACCAATAGATGTAGTTCAATTATTATCTATACTTTACTTTATCTGGCTATATTCCTATCATTTCATAAGCAAAACAAACTTTCCAATGTAAACATAACCATAATGAAGTCATTGTCTTGAAGTTCCATTTAATCAAATTTGAAATTATTCAGTTTCATGGTTTTAATTCTATTATATTTTATAATGTTTGATACTCCTATATATCAGTCAGTTCACTATATTTACTTTTTTTCTTTAAGTTTAGATCATATCTTACCTCAGCACTGTAAGTTATTGTGGTTCTTAACTATAATGCATGTATCTACACAATGTGCAAAGATAACTTATATACATAATTTTTAGATACAGTCTGAACCAAACTTTTACACATACCTACCATTTTGATTTATATCTGGCTGAAGATCTTCAAGGAGCTCTTGTTTCTTTTGTAATTCTTCATGAACCTCTGTTAGTTTTTCCCTAAGTAGTGGAAAGAGCATGGACTTAGAGACTTCAGGATGAACATTGGTCTGTCTCTTACCTATCATGAATTTGGATTCTCTGATCTTCAGTTTCACCATAGGTAAAATGGAAATTGTATCTGCCTAACATGCCTGGCTGTCACTTGGGTATATACTATCAGGCACACAATGGATGGCAAAGTGTTAAAAAATATTTCCTTTGCCAACTTCACAAGAAGTAAAAGAGAATATTCAATAGGGTGAATGTCCTAAACCTTGTCTACTTTGTTAAACTCTTTGAATGATATTGACAATTTTAAAATATGTAAGTTTGAGATGGTTGCCAGGTTGAAGATTTCAGCTGGCTTTTTCTTTTTTTTTTTTACTTCCTGGTGGCAAAGCTGCATATTTAATCACCATCAGAGTGCCTGCTTTTTTCATCAAATCTGAGAAGTGAAATTATTTTCATAAGCATTTACAACCCCTCCCCACTCTGATGTTTGAAATGAAATATCAGTTTTACTTACATATGAGCTTCCAACTTCTGCTTTAGTTTGCTGGACTATAAAATTAAAAACAGTTGCTATAAAATGACTATCTTACAAAGGTGAATTTTCCAAATATCTTTTTATCTTTTAAAGGTAAAATTATAAATGTTCTCAAATTTTGTATTTCTACTTTAAAAGCATAACACTTTTAGGTATACTTTTTACATTAAAAAAGGAGATTAGGAAAGCAGAGTAAAATGACAGAAAAAGTACTTCTGAAAACAATAAGTATGACATGAACTTGAAGAATAATAGCAAATGCAAACTGAATATTATATACTGAGGAGTATCGAACATTTAAGCTTTTAAAGAGTAATTCATTCAAAATAAAAATTTTAAGATTTCTCTAATAAAATTTTATCATTAGTTTCATTCAGTTTCATGGTTTTAATTCTATTATATTTTATAATGTTTGATACTCCTATATATCAGTCAGTTCACTGTATTATATTTACTTTTTTTCTTTAAGCACTTTCATGTTAACACCAAAGTGAAGCAACTAGGTTTTGCTTTAAAAAATTTAAGGCATAAAATCTACTCTTTTAAAGAATAGTGTATTAAACTGTCACATCAATTCTGCATCAACTAAATAGCTGCAGGGTTTAAAATACATAACCTGAAATATAATTTGGACACCAATAAATTAAAAATAAAAGAAATAAAAAAATCCTTGTAATACTCCAACCCAAACTGTCTCCCCCAAAGCCCATTTTGAAGTATTCCCTAGTAGCTAAACATATTTGTATTAGAGAGGGTATGATATTGTATATATGCACACAAAAAATGCAGCCATGAACAAAATTATTTCTGTTTACCAAGCCCTGTCATGTCAGTATGCTCCATTTCTTAAAAGATCTTTTGGCTGAATTTTTTTTGTTTTTTAATTCTCTATTTTCCTATTAGGAGGTTTCCTCGGTTGTGATTGCTGATTATTGTCATTTGGACTTTTTTCAGGCCAGCTCTGTTAGAATCCCAGTCAGTACTGAGACCTTCAAGTATAGCATACTCTGAACCAAAAGTCACGAACTTAGGTTTATCTGTTCAAGTGGGAGAGACAGAAATCATCTTATAATATATTCTATGATGCACTAGCTCCTGGTGGGCAAAATCTCTGCATTTGTCATGCATTTAAGGATACCTTCAATGATAAGAGCAGTACTTTCAAGTGTAAGATTAATTTGTGTATCAGAGACCATTAAGAGAATTTATACAGCAGATTGTAGATTCTAAATTACTTACACTTTCACCTTCAGACTTGGAGCAATGCTCTTGTAAAGACTTTTGGAGGTCTTCAACCTGCTGCTGCAATTCTCGGATGCGCTCTTTGCTGAGCCTATTTTAACATGACTCATAGGTATTTAATTGTATTGAAAGTCAAAGTCAATGATCTATAAAGCTTAATTCATTTAACTATATATACCTACATATACATACACAAATATAGTTAATTGAATGTGTATATATATATATATATATACATATATATGTGTATATATACACACATATACATAGATTTTCAATAATAAAAGCACAGTTATTATCTGCAACTAATTATAACATAGTATGTAAAATTTACACTCCTTCTTAAGGAAATACTTTAAAAAGCTCTTTTAACCCCTGAAAGCAAATGTATTCACATTTTAAAATTCAAGACACATGACTACATATCCATGAAAAAAAAGTAACATTTCTGCATTATTACTCACTGGTAGAAAAATCAGAAAACTAGTTTGTTTTTCCTACAGTTGTATTTTTAATGAACAATACTTAAGTTGCTTTTTTCTGTTTCAAATTTCACATTGTGTTGAGAGAAAAGATAGTTCACCATTTTCTAACCATGACTTCATGACTGTTGATTTGAATTAAACAGAGTATCACTAACAACTAGTCCATAATTTAACTTGGCAAAATCCCATCCTCTAAAACTCTTTTCGTTAAAAGCTATCTCCATTAGAAGTCACAACGAGGAGCTATTACCTCTCCTCCTTCCTATATACACAAAAGCACAAATAGGTACCCATACATATGACACAATTTCTGCCTGACATAATTCTCCACAGTTGCAATTACCATTAATATGGTAATTATCTTCTCACATCTATAATATTGTAAAAATTTTCTGAAAGCATTTAATACAGTCAGCACTAACAAGACAGTAACATTTAATCCTGTCTTCAGAAACTTAAAATGTTACTCCTTGTTTAGTACTCTTATGTAGTAATACCTGCATTAATGCTGGAAAAAGAGTTGCAACTGTCTCTAAAATTCCTGGTGGTCTCTAAGATCCAAAACAATGAAGGCTGAATCCAAATACCTTTATAGCAAGTGTGGCCATTTATAAAAGGCAGATTAACACTGTGGATAAGAGTACAGATTCAAAATCTCAGAGTGAAAGAACATTCAAATGTGAAATCCAGAATTTACAAGCTGAGTAAGATTTTTATCTTTAACTCAGCCTTCTTATCCACAGAAAAGAGATAATCTCAGTCATTACTTCACAGAATTAGTGTAAAGAATTACTGGGTTAACAGAAAATCAGGACTTTGACAAGTATCTGGTGCATTGTTAAGTACTACATAAATATAAAACATTTGTATTAGTCTAATACTAGAGTATCACCGCTAACAAATAAATGTACCATTTACTTAAGGTAAATTATCTGGAATATTTATAATACCCAATATTTAGAGCTGAAGATACTCTAAGAATATTTATAATAACCAATATTTAGAGCTGAAGAATGTGAGTTTAAATTACTTTCTCAGAAACAAACCATTAATGAGCTAAAGCAAAGTAGAATTTAAATTTTACTCTGTAATCTACAAACATTTTGCATTGGACTGCAAAAGAAGGCAAATTATCATTTATTCTCTCATTAAACTTCTTGTCATTTTTGAAGATATATAATTGCAAACTACTTCTAGATAATGCTCATTAATTAATTAGTACTGTTGTACTAAGATGCTGAAAACTTAAAATTGGTAATTAAAAGTTATTAGCAAAAATAGTTAAAATGATAGTTATTAGCAGTATTGTCATTCTGTGCTGAGCTTGTTACCCTAGTAACCAAGCACCAACCACACAGTCATAGATTAACTGACCACGTTGTCATGCTGTTCTGTATGCGTTGTTTCCCCACCCTCCTCCCCAGTAACCTGTTTGCTGTGTCAACCTTTGCTCCCTTTGTAAGAGACAAATAATGCTGTGTCAACCACTGTTCCATTTATGAGAGTCATAAAGGGAATTCCTGGAATTGGCAGACCAAGGGCTATGAATTGGCTAACCACTCACTGTGAAATGCTTCCTGACCTCAAGCAAAGGGGAACAAAGGCCCACCTTGTTTCTGTTTCTCTTCACTATGTATTTAATGATCAATGAGCTAGTCATAAATGGACTATAAAAATCTGTAAAAATACTAACTCAGTTGAACAGCTTTGCAAATTTCATCTGCACTGTGTCTCTGGGCCAGCTAAAATAAAAGTGCTTCTTTTTAAATTGATGTCATCTTGCCCCATTTTTCATCTTGGGGCCTTTTTTGGGGGTACAACATTTGGGGGCTCATCTGGGATTATACAGGGACCCTTCCCCACACGTTTTTCAATTATCAATCAGCTTGAACTATCTGTAAGTATTTGGTTGGGTCTTTTGTTCTTTGTAATTTGAGTGCACACATTTGAAGTTTCAGACGAGCTTGGCTGCCTCCTTCTGCACCGGAGCGGGACACCCTCCGGGAAAGGGCTTCTAGCCCATTTGTGATCTGAGATTTTTTATCCATTTGGTTTTGTGCTTGGTATATTTTTACTGTGGAGCCATTTGTTTGCTTGAATCTGTTACCTCAGTACTAACATTCAGGTTTCTTTTATTTCTCTTAAACTACTGTTGCAGGTTCCATGCAGCTTATTGGACGTAAGGGACATAATGAAAATTTATTTCCCTTTAGGTCACTGAACCGTGGGCAGAAAAACCTTTGTTTGTGTCTTTCCTACTGGTCTTGTCTTTTGTGGCACTTGTTTAATGTTTTAGTCCTCAACTGATTACTTACAACCTTGGCATGCCTTTATAAAGTAGTTTTCTTTCTGGTTAAGATGTAAATATATATATATGCATGTACACTTACACACACACACACACACGTTTATGTTTTTTAAAATCATATTAACTTTACCAAGTGAAACCAGGTCATACTGTTATTGAGCCACTTAAAAGTTACAGTTTTTAAAGTGTAACATTTTAAGGTGGTAAAAAGACATTAAATGATTTAATATATTTTAGACTACTAAGAAAGTCACTTCAAGGATTTTGTTAAAAAATCCTTGTTGTCTAAAAAATCTTTGTTGTCTAAAAAGCTAGAAAAAAGGTAACTGACTGGTAATAAGTAAAAAACAGAAAAACAAATGTGTTCAGAATTTGACAGAGCTGGCTCAATAAACCTTTACTGCAAAATGTTTCCATTAAAATAAGATTATATTCTAAAAAGTGGGAGGATCTTTCTTCTCCATTCATTGCCCCATTTGGGATGACTGCCAGCAGATTTTGCACGTTTTGTTTACAGTAGAGGAGAAAAATATTCATGCTGCAGGGTAAAAAGCAGTGTGCAAACCAGATAAAAACTCATCCTCTGATCCTGAATGCCAAAACAGTGTTTTCCCTTTGTCCCACCCTGACTGGACAACCAGAGGTAAGAAAGCTCTCATTCAGTATCACCAGTTGTTCTCAGAAGCCTTTAAGGGCTGCCAGAAAACCCACCAATTTGTCCAAGGTAGCAGAGGTGAGACAACTGGATGATGAGTCCCCCTCGGGATTTCTGGAAAGATTGCTAAAGGCATATCACATTTATATACCCATAGATCTGGTGGCAACTGAAAATCCAAGAGCCATTAATATTGCCTTGGTAACTGTCGGCCCCTGATATTAAGTGAAAATTGCAAAGGCTTGAGGAATATTTGAGGAAATGCCCCTCAGTTAGTTATTAAAGTTTGCTTAGAACTGACGCTTTTCTCCCAACAGGTGCAAGCTATTCAACAGATTCCAGTCCCTGTGACTAGAAAGCAAGTGTGAACATTTCTAGGAGCCACAGGATACTGCCTGCTTTAGATTACAGAATCACAAGACCAGGCTTTTAAGCAACTGAAATCAGCTTTAACAGAAGCTTCAGGTCTGGCTCTGCCAAATTTGCAAAAACCTTTTTCTATGTTGATGAAAAACGAGGGATAGCAAAAGGAGTACTGACCCGGAGTTTAGGACCATGGCAAAGGCCTGTTGCCTATCTTTCCAAAAGACTTGATAATGTGGCAGCTGGATGGCCGCCTTGCCTGCAGGTGATTGCCTCAGTGGCCCTCCTGATGCAAGAGGCCTAGGAGTTGACATTTGGACCAAAACTTTTCATTATCTCCTCTCATTCACTGGAGGCTCTCATCAAAGCTCTATCAGACCGATGGCTTCCTAACTCTCGAGTCGTGCACTATCAGGCATTACTTCTGGATCCAACTACCGTCAGTTTCAAGGGGACAATGGCTTTGAACCCAGCTACTCTGCTGCCTGCTGATGACCCCTTCTTACCCCTCAAGGGGCTTCGACCAGACTTCACAGATGAGCCACTATCTGGAGTTCCATTGTATTTCTCCAATAGAAGCAGTCACATCTATCAAGGTAAGGGGGCTGTGGGAGCCACCATCACGGACTCTCAGATTCTATGGGAACAAACCTTGGAGCCAGGAACATTGGCCCAATGGGCTGAACTCATTGCCCTCACTGAGGCCCTCAAGTTGTCAGACTGATAGCAGATACACATTTGCTAATGCCCAAGTACATGGGGCCATTTATCAAGAATGGGGTTTATTGACCAAAAGATCAAAAATGCTCTCCAAATTTTGGATTTTTCAGCTGCCATTTGGATGCCAAGGAAGGTGGCTATTAAATAATCTAGCAGATGCCACTGCCCAAAAAGCAGCCACAAAATCAGTGGGGATTGAGACAGCCTTGGCATTGCTGCTGATTCCACCTACTCTGTTAGAGCCCTTTTGCACTCAAAAAGACTTGCATTTGGCAGCTCAAGTCCAAGCAAAGCCTGATATTCCTGGGGGCTGGTACCAACTGCCTGATAAGTGAGTCCTCCTCCCCGAGGCCTTGGGACAAGAGCTCATCCAACAAGCTCATCAGTCCACTCACATGGAAAGATCAAAACTCACTCCCCTTTTTCAAGATCATTTCTTTATCCCTCGCTTATTGAAGCTTACTCAGTCTGTGAGCCTTAGATGTCCTCAGTGCCAGTTGGTGAACCCAAAGCAACCACAACAAATGGAAACCACTCGTTATCATGGGACTATGCCTGGGAAACATTGGGAAATAGAGGTCCAAAAATGGGAAAGCCTGGACTTTAAGGGGATAAGTGCTTATTGGTAATGGTAGATACTTTCACTGGATGGGTCGAAGCTTTTCCTACTAAGTCTTGAGTCAGCCCTGATAGCAGTTTCCCACATTTGGCCTCCTTTTATCCATAGGGTCTGACAATGGCCCAGCTTTTTTTTTTTTTTTTTTTTTTTCTTTTTTTTTTTTGTCTTTTTCATTTTTATCGGTACCGGGGATCGAACTCACGACCGCCTGCTTTCAAGGCAGGTGCTTATGCTGCTGAGCTAAATCTCCAGCCCCAATGGCCCAGCTTTTATAGCCCAGATAACTCAAAAACTAACCCAAGCTTTTCAGATCAATTGGAAACTCCATTGTGCTTTACCGGCCTCAAAGTTCAGGACAAGTAAAAAGGATAAACCAGACCTTAAAAATGATAATAACTAAGAATGCATTGGAAACTGGTGAGAACTGGGTGAGTCTCCTTTTTGCCCTCTTGCATGCACAATGTACCCCCTATGTTGCAGGTATTTCCCCCTTTTGAAGGTCTATATGGGAGATCTCCTCTTATTTCTAAGATTTCTGAGAAAAAATTAGCTGATCTGGCTAATAAGATCTTGTTAAGTCCCAAGGCCCTTTAGCTAGCTCTGACTTCCATCCATCAGTTATTCCAAAACAACAGCCTCTGCCTGCAGTCCATCCCAAGGACAAACGTCCTGCAGTGAAACCTAGGACACTAGTCCTCATTAAGACACATCACCGTAAGTCTTTCAAACTATGGTGGAAAGGCCCCTATACTGTGGTCCTCAGCACTCTGACTGCTGTCAAAATCGCTGGAAAGCCTGCCTGGATTCATCATTTCCACTTCAAGCCAGTTCTGGCCTCCGACAGCGATCAACCTACAGATAAGTGGACTGTCATTCCCTCCAAGGATTCTTTAAAGCTTAAAATTGCCAAATGTATCCAATAATCTTGTTATGTGTTGTTCTTTATGGAAATCTCAAGGAGATACCTCATAATCCACTGTTTGGAACTTAGAAAATGACTATTTCACTGGTGAATTATTGATAGCCAATGCTACAGTCTATGGAATAATTAAGATAGATTTATGTGCTCTATTAAATAACATCCCAGCAAAAATTAGACAGAAAAAAAATGTTATTGGGTTAGCATTCCGTACTGTATGACTGGTTGCTAATGAAACCAACCGGGCCTTGCAGGAACCTACATAGTCAAAAGGAATTAACAGTCCACTGGCTGGTATCTTTGCCCCCAAAAGCAACAGGCAGCCTCTGATCACAGGTCCATAGAGACAAAATATTTTTGTAGACATTGGGGTTGTGAATCTGTATCTCCTTGGCAGAGAAATAAAGGGGGTTGTTACCTTTTCCTCAGGAGACCCCATCTTCCATTCTCTCCACTAGACTTCCTGCTCCTGAGACCTTTTTGCCCTCTGCCATTTCTGCACCATCTCTAGGCCTCTTCTTGCCTCTGGACATTGCTTATGGCAAATCAACTTTTAAATTCCTGTGCAGACGACACCACTTGTTGGTGGGGTGCTAGACCCCTGCTCACAATGGACAATACACAGGGTATTCCAGGAATCTGTGTTTACTCTGCCTCCTACTCCTGTGCACTTCCTCTGTAATCTTACCTCTTCAGCTTTGATTCACAATTTTTCTTATCCTGAAAATCAGCACCTTGTTGCTCCCAACCGGGCCTGGTTTGCCTGTACTTCTGTTATAACTCCTTGTTCCATGCATCATCTGTTCACCCAGCACCCTGAGCTTTACACATTAGTTCACTTTCCCCAAATATATTGGTAAGCTGGAGATAATGATAAGAGTCACTTGTTGCCTAGCTTTGATTTGTTAAAGAGTCCAGTCCGAGCAAAAAAAAAAATCCTGTACTCTTACCTGTATTACTGGGAATTGGGATGGAAGGGCCAATAGGTGTAGGAGTGTCCAGCCTAATAGTTAGAGACCAAAATTATAGACACTTAAATGCACTCATTGACCAAGATCTAGCAGCCCTTAGTGACTCTGTCTCCAAGTTAGAAGATTCTTTAAGTTCACTGGCTGAGATGGTCTTATAAAACCGGCAGGGTCTACATCTCCTGTTCCTAAAGGAAGGAGGCTTCTATCTGGCATTAGGAAAAAATTTTTGCTTGTATGCCAATTATTCTGGGGTTATCTGACAAAGTATGGCCAGCCTTAAAAGGTGGCTACAGAAATAAGAACAAGCCAGACAAGCTAAATAGAATTGGTTTAAAATGATATTTTTCTCTATCTCCCTGGTTGACAATATTAATCACAACAGCCTCCAGGCCTCTGTTAAGAACTTACTTGCTTAACAATTGGGTCTTAGATTATAAACAAATTGGTAAATTATGTCAAAGATCGGGTTCAAACAACAAAACTCATGGTTTTAAGGACACAATTTTATGAACAAATACCTCTGCTTGAAAACTCTATGAGCCAATGATTTGGTTCACTGACAAAAATCAGTGGGGAATGTTGTAGTAAGAGGCTGAAAATTTAAATTGGTAATTAAAAGATAATTATTAGCAAAAACAGTTAGTTAAAAGGTTATTAGCAGTATTGTCATTCTGTGCTGAGCTTGTTACCCTAGTAACCGCATCATCATGCTGTTCTGTATGCGTAGTTCCCACCCAGGCCAGTAACCTGTTTGCTGTGTTAATCTTTGTTCCCTTTGTAAAAGACAAATGATGCTGTGTCAACTACTGTTCCCTTTTTGAGAGATAAATGTTCCTGGAATTGGCAGACCAAGGGCTATGAATTGGCTAACCACCCACTGTGAAATGCCTCCTGACCTCAAGCAAAGGGGAACAAAGGCCCACCTTGTTTCTGTTTCTCATCGTTATATACTTAATGATCAATGAGCTAATCATAAATGAACTATAAAAATCAATCAAAATTCTAACTCAGTTGCACAGCTTTGCAAATTTCATCTGCACTGTATCTCTGGGCCAGCTAAAATAAAAGTAAATTCTTTTTAAATTGATGTCATCTTGCACCATTTTTCATCTCGGGGCCTTTTTGTGGGGGTACAACAAGTATAATATTTTTCACTTCGGTGGATGAAGGTTTCATGGATAGAACACTAAAGTTACAGAAAAGGAGCAGTCACCTTTGCTCAGTTTCCAATTCATTCATCTTGCGGTGCTTCTGCTCCAGCTGTTCTTGTAGCTCTGCAATACGCTCATTCTCAGATCCTTCCTTCTGTAATTGAAGCATCTTGTTTTCATGCTGCAGTCGAATAAACACCTCTCTGATATGGAAAAGTAAATCTGTTTTAAGGCTTTTAAAATGAGTTACTATACTCTTTACAAAAAGTAATTCATGTCCACTCAATAGCTATTATTTTAAAAGAAGTTCAGAATTTCTGAAATACTTCAAGAAAAAATCATGTACATTGCAAGACTATGCCTGAAAAAAACACAGTAAATTATTAAAAGCACAGAATTGTTATATATTATTAAATGATTACTATACAACTTCCTAAAGAGATTAATGTGAATTGTTTTATTAACTTAGAAACTACTCACAAAAGGAAGCAATAAATTTATAACTGAAATTTAAGACTTAAGAAACTACTTTGCCAAGACTTTCTCCATCATTCGGTGCCATTGACAGACTGTGGGGAGGTGGGGGGGGGGGCCTCACCAGTAGGGTATCCCTGCCTGGAAAGCACTGCCATGCGCTGGCTGCTGCCCAGTGGGGACAGCCACATCCAAGCCTCTCTCCATGAGTCTGCACCATTTGAGGACCACCAAAGAAGAGAATCAGGGTTATCACCAGGAGATGATTCCCATCTGGAGAGCAGTACTATGCTGCCAGAGTGGAAACAGCCACAGTCAAGTCTCTCTGAGAGTTTGTGCCATTCCTGGACTGTGGGGAGTGTGGGAGGAGGGATATCCAGGCCTCACAAGAAAGTGATCCCAACAGGGAAACCATATCATTGTTTTGTTGGGTTAGGCTTTATTCTCTTTTGTTTATGTTAAATCTGATGACATGAGCAGCTATTTGAACATTTGTTAACAAGACATATTTTGGTAGCCATTTTTGGTTTAGTAGTGGCCTGTTTTGAAGTCCTTTATTGCATTCACTGTTTCAGCTTTATTGTTTCTATTTTATTCTAATCTGTTCAATTTTTACTATGTCCAAAAATATCTGCAGCTATTTTGAAGACAACACAAGGCATTATGGTAACTATTGTTGGTTACATAAGGTTTTGAAGTCCTGTATCACTTATACTGGTTTATTTTTTATTGGTTTTCTTCTCTTCTATTTGCCTTGATTTTATTTTTCAAATAAAATTTTAAAAAAGACACTGTACTTTGATTAAAATTTTCAAGTATAGCTTTGTGATGGTAGTCAATATCTATATCTCCTAGGGGGATTTTATTAAGGATTTAAAGTGCCTTTATATTTTTGTTTTTTTATTCTGAAGAGAATAAAACCAAGTGAAATAAAACAATAGACTCAATCAGAACAAAACCATGAATGCAATACACGACATCAAAACAAGATAAAAGGAAAACATTAATGCCCCTGTTATCTCCCAAGTAGCTACCTATACCATTAGTCACAATAAAATCAAACAGAACAACCCAGTACAAAATCAATCAAAACAATGGAAGCAATAGCATGGCATCAAAACAAGCTAACAGGAAATTAACAATGACTACCATAATATATTTTGTTAACTTTGAAACAGCTGCCCATGCCAGCAAATATAATAAAATCAAACAAAGCACAACAGAATAAAACCAAACAAAACAGAACAATAAAAATACAGAGTTTCAAAACAAGATAATAGATTAACTAATGGCCATTGCCTACACTTTTTAGACGTTACTTCCTCTATCATTTTCACAATATCTCTTGTGCATTGTAGATCCCACTAACTCCTTCAAGGTTTTATGCTAGGGAGACAACACGATGTTCACCCATGGAACTCTGAACCATTTCACCCATAAGCATGATCAAAAGTTGTATCCATTTACCTACAAAAGCCTCAAGGTTATCCTTCTTTCATGCTGAGCTTTCTATTGTGTAAAAGTGCCATATCCTTCCTCGCCATTCTGCAGATGATGGCAAGCTACACCTGCTTTTCTCTGGTTCCCTGTCACATGCAGCATTGTTTTCGCTCCTTTGACTTTCAGTCTATGGATTTCCTTTCATGTGTTTCTTATATAAAGCATATTGATGGATTCTGTCTTCTGATCCACTCTGCCTGTGTTTCACTTTATTGGTGAATTGAGGCCATCCACCTTAATGGTTATGGCCAACATGCACTGCCTTGTCTCCCCGCCTTGCTATTTTCCTGCCGTTAGTTGCCTACTTTTCCCCTCCATTCAGTTGTCTGCCCCACCTGGTGATCCCTCTGTGCAACTGTCCCTAGAACCAAGGTCATTTTTATCTCTGTCTAGCATGTCCTTCAATATTCTTTGTTGGGTTGGTTTGGTGATCATGAATTCCTTCAGTTGTTCTTTGTCATTGAAGTGTCTTGTTTCTCCATTATGAAAGATAGTTTTGCAAGTACATTGATCTAGATTGGAAGTTGTTTTCTTTCAGGACTTTGAAATACTTCACTCTAAGCTCTTCTTCCCTTGATGATGTGGAGAAGTCTATCGTGATACTGATGGGTTTTCCTTTATAGGTGACCTGTTTCTTTTTTCTTATAGCTTTTAACGTTCTGTTCTAGTGCTGAATTTCTGGGATCTTGATTATTATATGTCTGAGTGTAGATTTATTTTAGTTATGGTTAGATGGAGATCTACATACTTCACTTATCTGTATGTCATGTCCTTTGTCATGCTTTGGAAATTTTCTGCTATTATTTCCTTAAATAGACATTTTATGTTATTTGTGTTGACACCTGCTTTTTCACTGACACCTATGATTCTTAAATTATTTTTCTTTGAGTCATCTTACAACTGTTGAATTGTTATTTCCTGGTTCCTTGTTATATTTAAGAGATTTTTTTCTCTTATAAACGCTAGCTACAAATCTGTCTTCAAGGTCTGAAAGTCTATCTTCAGTTTCTTTCAAGGGGTTGTGCCAGCATTCAATGGAGTTTTCAATTTCCTTGATATCACTATGAATCTGTTTCATGCCTTTTAAATATTTCTTTTATTATTCATTCAAGGCTCCCCTCATTCTCTTATGCTTATTTTTTTATCCATGTACTATTTAGAGGTTCTTAGCAATTCTTTTACTATGTTTTTCATTTCTTCTTTTGCCTGAGATAGTATTTCTGCTCTAATTTCTTTTATAGCCTCATTAAGTTGTTTCTTTACTTCAGTTGCCATCACTTCAGAAACTTCAGGCGTGCAACTCCCAATCTCCTCCCTGTGTACATCTCCTGGACTTGCTATATATGGATTAGAGGCCAGAGATTGCCTTTTGCTTCTTCATCTTGGTATTTTCCTGAGTTCGTTTGGAAAGGCAGGGTAGTGTGGTCCCAGGCACTTTCTGCATTGGCTACAATTTCTCTAAAGTGTAATAGCTTGGTTTTCTAGGCAGGTGCTGCCTACAGGCATCTGATGGCAATCACTGGGTATGTTGGTGTGGGGCTGGCTGCTGCTTTTCCCAGCCTATGCTGACTAGTACCAGCAGGAAGCTTCCCAGATGGCAGCTGGTATGTGTATGGGGGCAAGGCAGGTCACTGCCTCCTAGACCTGTGCTTGTTGGGGGCGGGGGGGGGGGCGAGGATACCCAATGGTGGATGGTGTGCCAAAGATTTACAATTATCAAAGTAAATTTAGTATTCAAATGAAGGTACAAATTTCTATTTGGAATTAAATAAAAACACATTCCTACTTGTTCCATCACCTATACCTTATTTTCCAAAAGCAACTGATTTTTATTAATCTCAATTTTTTATTCTAAATGCCATCAGCATAATGCTGAAAAGTAAGCTAATATAGCTTTTTGAAAAATAATTATTTTTAGCAAATGTTTGACTCCTAAATAAAAATGTAACTCTTCTTACTTTACACATCTACCCTTTTTCCCCTTATAAATTCATGTTTTATTTTTTGTCTTCTAATAATTTTGTAATTTTCAATTATATAATTAAATCTCCAAAATTAAAGCAACTTTGTGTTGAATGACTTTTACACAGTAAGTTTCCTTTTTAGTACACAGCACATGACCTATTACCTAGAAAAAGAAGTGATGTTATAAAAACTAAAATGTTATTTAGCAAGTTTGTGAAATTTTGTTTCTAATGAGGTTTTAAGATGCTGTGGTAGCACAAACAATGTGATTTTGGAAGTCTAAACAGATGAGACAAATTTTTGGTATGATTTCTCACTTTCAGATAAACGCAAATGAAATGAGTGAACCATCCAAAACAAGAGGATATTAATAACTAAAACATGCATATCAAAAAGCATGTAAGTCATATTATTCTAACAATGACTGCAACTGTACAAACTGCAAATCAACAACTTTGTGAACAATATGCTAAATAAAACAAGTTAGTCACAAATGGCCATATGTTGCATGATTCTAGTATATAAAATACCCATTAACAAGAAAATTTATGTTAGTCACCTAGAGCTAGGATTTGAAAGGAAGGAAGGAATTCAGAATAGGTGCTAATAGCTATGGGTCTCTTCAGTATAAGGAGAATGTTTTCATAAGAAAGTGACATGATGGGCTGGGGATTTAGCTCAGCGGCATAAGTGCCTGCCTGGCAAATGTGAGGTTGGGAGTTCAATCCCCAGTACCGCCAAAAAAAAAAAAAAAAAAAAGAAACTGACATGGTGAGACTGATACCACATACTGACAACTCTGTTGCAAGACCCACTGAACTATATATTTTTGAGTGGATAAATATTTCAAAAAAGCTATCTAAACAAAGAGTAAATTGTAAATACTAATCAAACATCTAGAAGGAAATATAGCAGAAGACTAAAAGTTGGATAAAAAGGGATTTCTAAGATTTGTGCTTCATCTAACTTCCTGAATTATTGACAATTCTTGTATTTTTCTATCTATCTGGATTGGAAAGCAAGCGTTCTTCAGAGTTAAAAAACAAAATTAATTTAGACAATAAAAGTCATGTTTAAAAAACTACAAAATGTTATGGGTCCATTTTGTAAAATTTACTTCTGATATATTTTAAAATTGCTGTGATAGGAATGAATATATGAGTTAGTAAGCTTAAGATCAGAAAAAAGAATCTCTAGCTCGGTAACACAAAAATGAAAAAGATAGATCAAACAAGAGGGAGAGAAAGAAATGAAAAAAACTTACATCCTATCATTAAGTCTGAATTATCAGATTTACCTGTACTCCACTGGCATGATCTCAGCAGCAAGGTTCTCATAACTCTTTGTAGCAGATGTGTCTACACAACAAAAAACAGGTTATGTTTCAATACTTCAACTATTAACAAAACCCAATTTTAAATTTAACTAAATTTACCTGTTTGATTTAGGTGATCCTGCTGTACTTGTGAACAACGAAGCTCTTCATTTGTTTCTTTCAGAGTATCCCGCTGCTCTATCAGTCTCTTCAGAAAAATTATAGATATCAGTAAATCATGTAATTCTGTCCACTTCTGTTTATAACAACTTGTTCGATAATTATTATTTCATTAAAAATAATGTTGAAGTTTTAAGAGGCTAATATTCTTTTGCATAAGTCAAATAACAGCTTTTGTACAAAATGTGGTTTGTGATTTTTCATTATATCTTTGAATTGAATTCAATCAGTGCAATTATATTTTCAAGTACAAATTCACAAACGAACGGTAGATAAAAAATAAGGATGGCCTTTGGAAGTAGAGAGGCAAGGGTATGAATTCTAGTTTCACCACTTTGTAACTATGTTATCTTGGGCAAGTTATTTAACTTTTCAACTTTTCAGATTTTAGTGTACCTATTTTCTAAATAGAAAAATCAATATAAAAATCCTTGCCAAAGCGTTTTGAACAATGTATGAGGAAAAGTCAAACATTTAGAAGATAGATTAGTGTGTAAGACATGCAAGAGATTAGATATTACGTTTTTACCACTATTGACTAGAAAAAGTGTTAAGCAGCATCTTGGAAGTATCGATTGTGTAAAAAAAAAATCTTTCTCAAAGTTGCATGTTAGTACTTCAAATTACTGACAATTTTACTTAATAGTTCACATCAGTGGAAAAAAAAAACTCTGAGTTCTGAACAACAGTCACATTTAAGTCATATTCTCAGAACCTGAAAATTACTTCTGAATATAAAAATTATACTTTAAATATTACATTCCAAATCAATGAACAAAGCCTTTTTACATCTATTACATGGCCAAAGTCAACCTAACTGAATTGAACAATTCACTCGGATCCTTAGGTTGGAGTCTACAGAAGCCTGAGGGACCTCTGAACCTTATAAATTAAAAAGAGATAAAGGCAACAAGACATCTATAAATCTGTTCTTTCATAAACATAATGCAAACACTAGAAAACTTGTCCTTATCAACTGTTACAGAACTCTGAAAACAAACCAGAAACTCCTAATAATTTGATGTTCTTTTGTTTTGTTTTTTGGGATTTTGTTTGTTTGTTTTTTTGAGACTAGGTCTCACTATGTAGTTTAAACTGGGTTTGGACTATATAGTACAGGTTCAAACTCCTGGTGATCCTTCTGCATGCTTAGATTATAAGCATGCATGCTAAGCAGTAAGTATTTACTAAAGTAAACCTGCTAAACCTCCATTAAAACAGTGAGCTTTTTATTCTTTTAACTTACCTTATTACTATTCCTTCTCCCCAGCTCTGGAGTAACCTAGAAAGTCAGTAACTTCTTTATGGTAGCTGTGAAAATCAGGAGCTTCACTAGCCACCAGAAGAGGCAGATTCAGAAGAAAGCACCTCTTAAAAAGCTCTCTCATCCTCAGAAAATAATCATTATTAGACCTAACCTGAAGCTCCCAGAAGAAAAGATTTTCATTATTTGACCCAATTTAGGGCTTCCTTTGCAGAAAAAGCCATATCCCAGAGGCATATATAAAAAACAATCCTAAGCAACTATTCACCACAACCATGCTGAAGGCTAGGGTGTCAGCTGGGGACAAATAAAAGCCTGGTGAGAGTCCACAGGGAAGATCTAAGAAAGAAGAAGTCCACAAGAGGCAAGGAAAAGCTCTGACCACTTCCTGGAAATTGATAAGGCAAACTACTGTGCACATGCCCAGAAAATTTCTGAGAGGGTCTCAGTATCTCAGCTCTGAAGTCAGATGAAGTAAAAAAATAGAGGCAAAGGCAGAGTCAAAAATTTTATTAACAGAGAGATTTACTTATTGATACCTGGAGTCCTGTCCTTTGGTAAAGGCAGAAAGTGTTACTGGTTAAAGGCATCTAAGAAAATCTTTGACTAGTGTCACAATGGTAACACAGGCTTTAGAGAATTATCCAAAGTATCACTAAAATAAAAGCAAAACAAAGAATAAAATATTTTTCTCTCAAAGAATTATGATTCTCAAATTTAAAATATTCTATAAAATGTCAGTTTTTCAACAAAAATACAAAATATAAAAAGAAACAGTCAACTAAGTCAGCCAAGGAGGTGAGCTAGTGAGTGGATGAAGTAGATTATAAATTATGATTAGATTATAAATACCTTCAAGGAATGAAAGCAAACTAAGTAAAAAGAGTTAAAAAGAAATTATGACAATGTTACACTCAATAAAGCATAAGAAGAAAGAAGAAAAGCATAAGAGAAATCATAAGAAGGAACTAGGAATTCTAGAGTAAAAAAAAAATACAATAAAATAAATATATTCTAGATGGGATCAGCAGCACAGTTAACAGGAGAATAAAGTAGGAAACCTGAAAGTAAACTAACTGAAATAAACTAGTTTGAGAAATACACTTTTTAAAAATTAAAAACAAAGAGAGTATGAATTCTGTGGGACACCATCAGATATACCACCATATGCACACTGGAAAATTCAGAAAAAGGAGAAAAATATTTGAAGAAATAATAGCTAACCTTTTTCCAAATTTCATGAAATAGGACCAAAAGATCTCAGAAGTTTCATGAACTTAAAGGGATCAATACCTAGATACATCAGTCAAAGTGCTAAAAGTAAAGAAGAATCTTGAAAGCAGCAAGAAAAAAATGGTTCTTCAAACACATGGCATCCTCAATGAATTTAACTACTTACTTTCCAGTAATAAAGCCTGGAGAACAACTGATGATCAATGCTGAAAGAAAAAGACTGTCAAAAAGAATTTGACACCCAACAAAACATCCTTTGAACATAAGCAAATTGAAATTTTTTTTCAGATTAAGCAAAAATGTAAAACAAAAAGAATTTTGTTATTAGCAGAATTGCTTTTAGAAGGAAATACTAAAAAATTTTTATCTTAAAATACTAGATAGTAGTTTGAATCCAAAAAAGTGCACAGTTAACTAGATGCACAAATATGTAACAAACATAAAAGTATTACTCAGTCTTTTAATCTGCAATCTGAAATCTGAATTAAAAGATAGTAATAAAAAGCAGTCATTATAAAATGTGTCAAAGTATTTACAATATATAAACATATAATGTATATGAAAATATAGTAAAAGCAAAAAGAGGAGAGAGATCTATTTTGGAACAGTTTTCCATATACTATTGAAATCAAGGTAGCATTCACATCAAATACATTATTTCAAGTGAAATGTTCATTGTAATTCCCATAACAATCATTAGAGAATATGTTTTAAAAAATAACAAGAGTTAAAATGGCATATTAGAAAATATCTAACAAAAAAGACCAGAGAAACAGATGTACAAAGAAGACATAGCAACAAAATTGAAAGCCTCAGTACTCCATTAGTAATTAAGCTAATAAAGTAGAATAAAAACTCTAGTGAGAAGGAAAATATTGGCAGAATGGGCTTTTTAGAAATGATCTATCCAAATGGAACATAAAGGACACAGGTCTTGTATCAGAGAAACAAATGATTTGAAAATAAAAGGATGGAAAAGGAAGCAAAAAGCAATCAAAATGTAGCCCCAAGTTTATACTTTAAAATAAGTCTAAACAAATCATTTATTTTTGCTCTAATCTTTACAAATTTCTTGGTAAAAGAACACAAATTTCTCTGTTTTCTTTTTTTATTACTAAAGAAATAAGGTATATGTTTTGATAATAAAGAAGATTCAATCTACCAGGAAGATACAAAAATGATACACATAAATTAGTAATTATGCTAATACGAGTGGATTCATAATTGGATATTTTCCCTTGTGATAGTAACTAGATAATCTGATCAATAATAATATAATCAGTAATCAATAATAATAATAATCTGAGCAATAATAATTGGAGGCTTAGATAGCCTACTTTCAATAACAGGTGGAGCAACTACACAAAATGTGAGCACAAATAGAATTATTATGAACTATTATAGAATTATTATATAATAGAATTATTATTCTATTATTATAGAATTATTATGAACTCTAAGACCAGACATATAGGTACACAAAACTACACCCAACATCAGCAAACATTATTTGTAATCATGCATGAACATCCTCCAGAATAGACCATACGTCAAAAGTCATAAAACAAGCCTCAAGGAATTTAACAAGATTAAAAATATAATACAAAGTATATTCTCTGATCACAGTGGAATTAAAAGAATGACAAAATTTGCAAATCTTAGCTAAAGTAACCAAGAAAAAAGTGAAAAACAACTTACAAAAATCATGAAAGAATATTACTGCTTATATAAATTCACTTATTAGAAATAAAAATTATAAAAAATAACTATACATAACTTGGCCAATAAATTAGGTAGATTAAATGAACAAATCTTTAGGAAGACACAAACCTCTGAATCAAGAAACAGAATCAGAACAGCAACTGAAAAGATTCAATCCACAAATAGAGCTTAGTTCATACTAGTAAACTCTACCAACTCTACCAAATATTTAAGGAACAATTAATAGAATTTTCTCAAATTTTGCAAAAGCTTACAAATACTAGGAAATTTTCCCAGCACACACTATCAGGTCACCATAAGTCTGATAAGAAAAGGTGTAATGACCTTACAGGAAAACTACAATCAATATCCCTTATAATTTAGAAAGAAAAGCAGTGAAGAAAGTATCATCAAAATGAATTCAGAAACATATAAAAAGGGGTATATATAATGATCAAGTGGGAGTTGGTCAAAAATGCAAGCTTGATATGACATCCAAAAACAAACTGATACAATATACTGTAAAAGAAACTTTAAAACTCACAGCCCGATACTATACTAAGGACAGGATATGCCCTAAACTGTCTCATAGTTGGACTATCACTGCCAACCTGTTGCTGGCTGCATCTTGTAAGATAATATCACACAGACACACTACCCAGCCAGTAAGCATATCTTATTGTGCTACCTTGTTTCAAGGATTTATCACGTGGGGACAGACTGGCTCAGTCAAAGACATGACTGATTTTACCCACTTGCCGAAGCCCCTGACCTTCATATTATATAATAATAAACCTTGAATTAAACCTGCCTGAAATAAATCTGCCTAG